CTATTTTTCTGAAGAATTTTACATTCCCATGTTCTAAAAAGATCTTTACTTCCTCTTCTTTTCCGTGGGTTTTGTTTGCAGCTGTGGGAAAGTGCACTCAGTTCTCTTTGTGGTTCTTTTCTGAAAGCAGGCAGAAGTGTGCTCATTCTCGTGTCCTACAGTAAAGAGTTCAAAGCTGCGTAACTGAGAGCCTTATTTCCTAGTCTTCTTTCTTTAGTTTCTCAAGATTGGGGCTGCTGAGGAAAGCTCATATTGCAAAGAGAAAAATGCTGCTGAGGTACCTTGAGCCGTTTCTGTGGAGTGGAGGACGGTGTGAGCTAATAAAGCGGCCTTACGGCTTGTTTGAAATCAGTGACATGAGTGATGGCTGAAGTGAGTACGTTCTTGGTGACTGCTGAAGAGGCGCAGTTGTGTTTTGGTGTAGCTGGAGCGCAGTTCGGTGCTGCAATGCTTGTGTTTAAGGTAGTCCGATGGAAAGATGCAGAGAAGGAGGTGGCAAGGTCAGGGTGATAGATGACGGATTAGACAGGCCTTTTGCGTTCTTCTTGGATGTCACTACAATAAATCTCTGCTTCATGAGGCTAAATCTAGAGCCTTAAACTGTCCAGAAATCCTGGATGAGATGTCAGACCTGTCACCAGATGATCGTAGTGTTCTGTGTGGCCCCTCTTCTGGGTGAAAGCAGGAGGGCTTGGAACCCTCTGATGAAAGTGAAAGCTGAAAAAGTGCAATTCTGTAAGCAAGAAATTAATTCTGCCTCTGCAGTGGCAATAATCTCTGTAAAGTTTGCCCAGCAGATGCCAGCAGTGAATTAGCACAAAGCTTGTGTAAAAATAAAAGGAGCTGAATCTCTAACTGTTGCAAACGCTTCACTGCTTAAAGAATGATTGCTTGAAATAGCTTAATTTTGTTTTCATTAAGGTTAATTTTTACCGTGAGGCTCCTCATTTTATCCTCTGAATCCCTGAGAATAGTGTGTTAGACTGTCTCTATACAAGTCCGAAAACATTCAGGTTTAAATTTGGTCCACAGTTCATAATAATGGCGTCCACATAAACAATGGTGTTAAGTTACTTATTTTAAAGATGTTTTAGGTTTAGCCTTTTTGCATCTTATATATTTTTATCTAACCTGTTCTTTTCCTGTTTCCTGTCCCTTTCAGAGTAAGAGCATAACTCTTCTTGTTTACTGTCCCTCTCAGTTTGAGGTACAAATTTGACCTGACACTAGACTGTTCCTTCTTGTACTGGAGGGCAAAAAAAAAAAAAAATAAAAAAAAATATCTAGGTCATACGGTATTTATCCTTCACTTTCATTGAACCATCTGGACTTCTGGAGCTAAAGCTGAAAACTGTCAACATCTCTGGATGCAAAGAAAATAGACTTAGCTAAAAGGGAAGTTCAAGCTGGAGAATCATCCTGTAGAAAGTTTAGAGCAGTTCAACACTGGAGGAAGGAAATCATTATCTGTCAGAATAGCCCCATCCTGCCCAACAGCCATAGCATTAGATATCTGATGCTGTTCCTTTAAAGATTAGACTCACGTTCAAGATTTCAGTGGAAACCAGATTTCGGTTTTACTAAAGTGTATTTTTTGGTTTGCTCTTTGTAAAGCTTATGTTCCGAGGAAGAGGTCTAGTCTCTCACATCAGGACTTCCTTAGTTTGAGGAAACTCCAGGGAGGACTTTTTACTGCGTGGATCACCCCCTCAATAATAAAGTTGGTATACATAATACAAATCAATTCCAGGTCCTTCTGAATTGTACAGAATGTAATGGGTTATCCACATAATTATGTTGGTGACTCTGGTTATGTACCTTTTCAGAAAGCTTTACTTGAATCAAGACATTAAATAATACAAATAAAGTAACACTATCTTGTCATAAAGCAGTTGAAATGCCTTATGATTTGGGCTTTCATGTAGGATCATAAGCACTGAAAAAATGGAGTTCGTTAGTAATATTTATTCTTTACCCTTAAAAGATTCCTATTTCAAACTGTAAGGACCCACTAAAAAGTAAACTCATGTCACATGGGATTGAATATTCCTTACAAATAATGATAATTATATGAGTCTAGATTATTACTTGTCATTTTATGTTCTTGGCAATTGGTGCATCTCATTTAAAAACATTTGTTTTTCCTTTTGGCTGAGTTT